TGCAATGCAGCGTCACCCAAGCTGCCGGCCCAGGCAGCAACGTAGCTGTGATGTAGTGTCACCCAAACTGCCAGCCCAAGAAGCCTCTGAACCACAGTTGGAAAATCACTCTATCTGCTATCTCAGTGGATATAAGAGATGTGGACCCAGAGGAAATCAGAGCTGGAGACACCCAGCTTCAGCCCTTTTGATGTATAGGCGGGGCGATCACAGCCTTTAGACCTTCTGAAGTCCACAATGAGCTCTATTGTCTTGGTGTTTCCAAGAAGGATCAGGCTGTTTTCCACACACCATCCTGTCAGTTGCTGGATTTCCTCCCTGAAGGGCGTCTCGTTGTCGCTGGAAAGGCCTACGGTCATCTGTGTACTTGTTGGTGTTGGTATGTAAAGTGGTGTAAAGTGAGTATAACATGGTGCTAATCACATTGCCCTGTGGAAGGAAGGTGAGGATTCCTAGAAAAGCAGAAGTCTGGTTTCCTAATCTGACAGATTGGGGTCTATTGAATAGGAAATCCATGAGTCAGTTACAAAGAAGTGCTGATGCCAAGATCACTGAGCTTAGCAACCAGCTTGGAGGGAGTGACTGTGTGGAAAGCGGAGAAGAAGTCCGCACACACACCGAACAGCTGCCGCATACAGAAAAAATATATGGACATTTATTTTTATATAGATTGCAGTTGATGCTGAAATACAAGCCAAACACTAAAATGTATTTCATAATATGTTGCCATATTAACCAAACATAGTTTGAAATACATTTATTAAACTGTATGGGGAAATATTAAACATATTAATGTACCATACAAAAATAAACAAAAATAAAAATCCTGTCTGATGCTCTTCACTGTCTGATACCTTTAGAGATGAATTTGTGTTCCAGTATCTTCATTTTAAATCTGATCTAATGATCCTTTATCAGGACAGAAGCGAGTGTTGTGGGTATTGATTCTCTGTGAAAATGCAGTTATGATCTGATATCTTGTTTATGTGAAATACATTGTGTGTGAGAGTCTGACTGCAGACGTACATGGTTAATGTAAAGCACAGTGCAGATCACAGTCAGTACGTTTAGTTACATCTGGAACCTTCATTACACACAACTGAACACAGATAATAACTGATAAATGCATTTTAACAATATATTTAACAAATACAGTTTTTGGCCATTTTCATACATTGTAAAACTATATTTGATACATACATTTGGAATATATATTTTTTTTCCATATGCGACTTAATTGAAGCTGCAGTAAGTAACCTGTATAAAATAGCTTTTTATCATATTTGTTGAATCGGTGACTGTCCTGAGAGTCATATATGAGACAGATAATCTCTGAAAAAATCTGGCTCCTCTGGCTCCACCTAGTCTTCCTAATGCCATTTGCAAGAATCCACCGGGGCCCAAATCAAAACAACCAATCAAAGCCCGGAGGCGTGTCTGATGAGGCCAATCACTGCTTGTGTACACTCTAGCTGTGTCCCAATTCAGGGGCTGCATCCTTTGGAGGCTGCATTTTTAAGGCCGATTGCGTCACAGCGGCGCGACTAGACTGTCCCATTTCGAAGGCTCCTTCATACACGGCTGAGAAATGTGTCCTTTTCCATGGCAACGAAGGATCCAACAGGTGGATCTTTCACCAGCCAACATATCCTGAGGTTCATTGTATGCCGGTAAGGATTCGAGAACAAGGCAGCGTCAGCAGAGGAGCGAACGGCGGCCTAGGGGACACTTTAAAATACAAGCATTGGGTTTAAACTGAGTCGAATAGCTAAAGATGGTGAAGACAGTGTCCGAAGCAAAACTCATGCTAACGTTTACGAATGCAGACCACGCCTTGGTAAATGAGACACTGAGAAGAGGGGAACTCTGAGGAATTTGGGCTGGAGTTCAGTACAACTTCTGTGGGTCACTCGAAGGCCGACCCCCCTGTGGATTAAAGATCAAGTGTAGGCGTGGACAAGGTGGAGGAGAAGGGGGTGGAGGTGGGTTGCGAAATTTCGTCACGAGTAGGAGGAGTGAAGGACTGGTATTTACAGGAAGCTGGAATTGAGAATGAGGAGTTTTGGGCGTGGTCTTTCCTCAAACTTCAGTTAAGTCATAACTCAATGTTTTGTTTTAGGGAGCAAAGAGCCGACAGAGAGAAGCACCTCCAGCTCTAATAAATGAAAAAATAAAAAACTAAAATTAAAGTTTTTGGCTCCGTCTTTAAAGAACTTTAAAATAACTTGACAGGAGCTGCGTTTCGTGATGCAGCAGTGAGGGCAGGAACAGCGGTGCTGTGACCCAAACAGGAAATCCACCGTAGAGCAGACTGTCTCATTTCAGTTCAACCTTTGCAAGTCTATGCAGCCTTCGAACGACACGCCTTCGCAGACCACGTCCTTCGAAGGATGCAGCCCCTGAATTGGGACACAGCTACTGCGGGGCAGCAGCCCCTCCCCTGTACACCGTCTCTGTCTGCACATGCTCTCCCTCAGTCAAGCTCCATTTCTTAAACAAACACCAGCAGGTAAAAATCTGTCCATCTCTCCTTCACAACAGCAGCGAACACCACAGAGACACGTAAAAAGAAGAAGACAAGTGAAGACAAGTGAGCTGGTTTATGTTCTTACCGGTGTGGCTCTTTGCCTGGCCCCCTCTTTTGCCATCCCCCTTTTACCCTGTTCTTCAGCGGTCAGGACCCCCATGGACCCTCACAGAGCAGGTACTATTTGAGTGGTGGGTCATTCTCAGCACTGCAGTAACACTGACGTGGTGGTGGTGTGTTAGTGTGTGTTGCGCTGGTGTGAGTGGATCAGACACAGCAGTGCTGCTGGAGTTTATAAACACCTCATTGTCACTGCTGGACTGAGAATAGTCCACCAACCAAAAACATCCAGCCAACAGCGTCCTGTGGGCAGCGTCCTGTGACCACTGATGAAGGACTAGAGGATGACCAACACAAACGAGCTATCGTCTCTGACTTTACCTCCACAAGGTGGACTGACAAGGTAGGGCTGTCTAACAAAGTGGACAGTGAGTGGACACAGTGTTAACAGCCAGTGTTCTGTCTTTGCACAGATGCAGCTCTACTCTGAAGGTCTTTCAGGTCACTGATTCGTCCTGTAGGTTTGGTTGTGTTGCTTGTGTTAGTCAGTAAACATGTTTTTGTGTTTATATGTGAGAAAGAAAGTTTTTCTATTGCAGTAATGAAACTAAAACCAGTCCACCTCACCGGGAATTCACTTCATTCTGCTGTTTTCCCACTTCGGAGGTGCCCAATTCCCCTGCAGGCGACTGCTTCCCCATCACACACATGTGAATTCCAATCAGCAGATCACACTCAACATATACAGTCATATGCAAAAGTTTGAGCACCTGCCAGTCAAGTGATGTTTCGTTTACTTTCTGAGTAAAAATAAGTGAACACATCCTCTACAGAGACTCACTTAAACAAGGCACTTTCTCCATATTTCACACATCAGAAAAAATAAAACAAATATAAAAGCACACATTTTAATTTATTATTTTTTTTATTTATTATTTTTTAAATTTTGCAAATGAAAAGTGATCGTACATTAAAATGTGTAGAAGTGTGTTCTTTGTAGAGGATAGTGACAGTGGTTCTATATAGAACCATGAACACTCAAAGAACCCTTTGCATGATTAAATGATTTTCTGCATGGTAAAATAGTTCTTTAAATTGATGGAGAATGTGCTGTAGATGCTTCTATAGAACCTTTTTGAAAAGGGTTCTTTTATTGTATACAAGCTTGACGTCGTAAACAATACAAGAATCCTTTTTGGTACCATATAGAACCCTTTTCAAAATTCTATGTATGTGTACGCATAAATGGTTCTTTGCATGGGAAAACTGATTCAGATTGATGGAGAATGTGTTTGTTCTATGTAGCACCAAAACGGGTTCTGCTATTGTTACAATGTCAAGCATGTAACAATAGAACAACCCTATTTGATGCTGTATAGAACCATTTTTAAAATGTACTGTACGGTTAGACACTTTATTAAGGTGAAGATCAGGAGTTTTAATAAATGAAGTGCAAACTAGCTATAAATACTTAGAAAAGAATGTTCAGAACGTTCATATATTGAGAATTTCCCTGTTGTGGGACTAATAAAGGACTATCTTATATATAATCATATATTTTTTCCCTAATACAATATGGTGATAACATCATAATCCATGATAAAAGGTTTGGTATTTATTGTGATTTCTTTCAGAAATAAGAGACAACAAGTGCAAAGTTTAAGATTTACAATTCAGTTTTTATTTTAAATGTGTCTACTTGGTACAAACTGTAAAAAATTACCTCTTAATGTAAAAGGAAATAAATATTTAAACATTTGTAGCACTGTTGTAAAATAATCAAATGCTATATCCCATAATGCACTGTTAGAGAATCACTCACTGTGCTGAAATCATTCTAGTCCATGTTAATAAACTAATACAGTGAAACAGCTCTGTAATAACAGAATTCCCAGTAACATCAACACAGTCAGGATTAGACTTTCACTCTGATGCAGCTTTAGTGATCGTCACTCTCACTTTCTATTTCACACGGTTTGGACATCAGGGCAGGATGTAACTGACACTCCTTAAACACAGTGGAGGTAAAACCTGCTGTACCTGAACAGTTTATATTAACGCAGCACTGAAAAAGGCTTTCTTACCCTCAGAAATCAGCTATCGCCAGCGATAACAGACTGGAATAATTCAATATGAATAGTTTCTGACTCGCAGGAAGTGCAGACTGTAAATCTTAATACCAGTGTTTGTCAGTAGAAGAGGAGATATTTTATTACAGTTTCAATCTGATGAAAAGTTACTGTTCTGTGTTCAGTCTTGTTAAAGAAACCCAAGATGGTTCATTTTTTACATTGACATCAAAATCAGTGAATACAGACTGAACTAAATGTACATGCAATTAATTATTTACCTAAATATGAAAACAGTAACAGCTCTAGATACACATACAGCTGATTGAAATGGAACATCAGAAACTGATCAGTGCTGTATTTCAGTGCAGTGACTGTATTATACAGTCCACATAATCGGTGACTACATTCAAAAAAATAAACATTCAAAAAATGTAATTGTTCAGAATGTCTATGAATGAGTTAGCATCTAAAAAGGAATAATACAATAGAAATACAAATTAACTTAATTCATACCTCATTTGCTGAGGTAAGGCACATTTTTAGATAGATAAACAGATAAACAGCAGCGCAACATTCATCTGAAATGGCAGCAACTACTATTTTGTAGGTGGCTTGTGTTTGGCTTATTTAGCTGATTTTTCCTATTCAGTATCAAAAACAGTGTTTTTGAGGTTTCCATCCACCAGTTTTTTGTGAATTTAGAAAATCAAATAGATGGAATCAAGAAGGTCCAAAATGTAAAAAAAAACACCCAATTATTATAAAAAGAGTTTTAAGCTAGGACAAGGTAAAAATTTTAGAATATCTCTAAAGCTGAAATGCAAAAAAGAGTGATGGAAAAAAGTGTTTTTCGAATAAACGATGACTATCAAGCTGTAATTCTCATGGTTCTGTGATTCCTACAGACGAACCGATCGCAGCGCGGAGCTTTTCAAAGGTCACTTTAGACAACCTAATGGTGGGAGATTTCAGCTCACAAAAAAATAAAAAATAATAAAACTGCAAAAGGCTGTAAAGGTGATTCTACCAGACCAAAACAGTTAAATCTCTCCATCCTGTTTGTTTCAGTGCAGCTCCTCATCACCGGCGCCGTCTAAGGCTTCTTCACATTACTGTAGTGGATGGAAACACAACATCTTTCGCTTTTCTCTGCTGAAATTTCATAAATGTGCATCATTTTACACTTTAATACAGGCTGCACTGACGTGTCATTAACTTCCACTTTGAGCAGACAAATGAAAATCCTTTAGCTGCCAATCAAATCTTACTGCTGCTCTGAACAAACATTTGACTCCTCTAAAGACTGACGAGCACTAGACTAGCTTACATCAGCTGCAGCAGGAAAACAAGGTGTTCAGGACTGACGGACCTTGACTGAGCAACGGAGCCCTGAAGGATGGTTTTATAAAGCGCTTCTAGATGGAAATCTCTGGCATGTCACTCACAGAAAACACCAAAAAAGACATGAAATGTGTAACACAGGACTGTTAGCAGTGCGGTATAAAATGGACTTGATGCATGGCTTCTTTCAGACGGTGCAAATGACCGATCACCATCTCCGCTCTAAATGTCCATCGTTGGTCAGAGTGATGACACTGCAGTGATACAGTCTCTTCATCCAAGGCGAGAAAATAACAAACTCAATGCGGTGGTTTTCCATTTTGGTGGTTTATGGATTGCTCTTCGTCAGCGGAGGCTCTGAATAATGTTTTTGTTGTGCTTTTCTGTGTCCGTCGTCTGAGGAAAAAGATAATTAACACTGCTAGGCCGGCTGTGAGGAGAGTGATCAGAGCTCCAAGGAGAACATAATGTCCCCTGTCTCCTGATAGTGGACCGCCAGCTCTGTCTTCTAGAAAAGGAAATATAAGAAACATATGAGCCGTGCTGACATTATTGGCACCACATACTCCTAAACATTAAGATGAAAAAAGTGCTCTGGAGCGACGCTGTAGAGCAGAGGCCTTCAAATCCAGACCCTGAATCCAGTTTCCAGTCCTGGGTTTTGTAATAACTGGTAGTTTTGACACTAAGTGGCCAATCAGTTACATCAACAGTTACTAACAGTTATTACAAAATCCAGGACCGGAGAGCGGATCGGTAGACCTCCTCTATAGAAGATCCTCTTTATGCTTCCCAAAAGAACAGAAGTGTTCTTTAAAGAACCACATGTGAGTGTGACCTTTTTAAAGTTTCAAGAAATACAGGGACTCTACACCTGATGGTTACCTAGAACCGAACGTCTGCTGAATCAAACTGTGGTGAAATGTGAGAGTTTAAGATACACATGACGAATCATTTAAAGATTCATTATCTAACCGAATGTCTGTGAGGTCTCTGTTGTTTATCTGAATCTACTGTATCGACTGTAATTGTAACTCCAGGAAACAGTGAGTGTTTATTTATCTATTTTTGTTTTCCTCTTCCCTGTTCCTTTTATCTGTTTCTGTATTCCTAAACGGTTCTTGGCTTAAATAAAGGTGCTACAGGAGAACCACTTTGTTTGTCTAAAAAAACTTTTCAATGGTAGTTTAAAGAAGCTCCACGTAATTGAAAAAAACCCTAGATTGGTATAGAACCTTTTTATTATGTGAAGGTTCCTCTTACACATGCACACACACACATCTCACAAATATGGTTCTTTAGGGAACCAAAAGTGGTTCTTCTATGGCATTACTCAGAGTCCTAATGTTAAACCTTTAACCTGTATAGAACCTTTACACTGTGCAGATGTTCTTAACTTTAAAAAGGTTCTTCATACTCATGCTCAAAATGTTGTTTTTCTATGGTTCTACAGCTCCAGAGAGCTGTTTTAGTCCTGGGTATTTTTAAAGGTGTGTATGAAGAAGGATTTTAATCTCACCTAAGAACAGGTCGATGTTCCGTCTGATCTCCTGCCCCAGATCTTGGTTCTTCAAGATGAAGGTGATGGAGGAGTTGGTGCCCCGTGTGAGGTTGAGTTTACTGTTGATGCTGTAGAGCCTGGTGTGTTGGTCCTGCTCCAGCTGCGTTTGCGTCTCCTCTGTGACGTCCTCCATGTTTCCCATCAGCCATTGCAGTGAGGGGGAGGGGTAACCTCCCTGTGATGTCAGCAGGAGGTCCACCTGCCCATTACTCAACAGGTTGATGTGCAGATGAGGCTCCGGGTAGAAGGCTATAGAAAAGAACATCATATTAAAACACCTGGTAATACTTCATATAAAAACACGTGTAAATGAATAATAACATATTAAAAACATGAAAGCCGATATTTTCACTTCCAGCTGCCTTTCAGCAAAGAGGATCACAAGCTGACAGCTTATCTGAACACAACTATTATTGTATAATGTGTATATTATACTGGATATTATGAATGAAAAAATATATTGAATCTATATTGATTCTCAGGAATAACAAAAAATAATGTATTGAATTTAACATTCCTCAAAATGTAAAGACTAGAGTTTGTGATGTTGTGAAAACATGTTAAAACCTGAAATCTGATACTTGTAATTCTAGACTAGAGATTGAGTGCAGGTTTCACTATAAGATAAAGATCAGAAGCTGACAGCTTATCTAAGCAGCAAAAGAAACTCTATTATCTACATCACTTTTTACACAACAAAAACCCTCTAAACCCAAACCGAAACCCACAGCGCCTCCATGACCCTTATAAGTCAGCATTTCTGAGACCACAGTCAACAGCTTGTGAATTTCCTGGTAAATTATGCTTATTATAAACTTCCATGTTTGTTTATTTAAATGCACTGGACACTTTATTAGAAATTTCTACCTTGTGCTTCGCCTTACTGGCAACTTATGTGGGTTGTGGTGCACTGACCAGTAGACTGAGGCCTCACATGAGCCTAAGGTCTCCATGCCCAATGCCAAGCATGGGCTAGAGGGGTATAAAGCCCCCCAGCATTGGACTGTAGAGCAGTGGAGCTGTGTTCTCTGGAGTGATGGAGCTCCATTTAATACCTTTGGGATGAGTTGGAGTGACCCAGAACTGACCATCCAACATCAGTACCTGACCTCACTAATGCTCAATCAAATCCTCACAGCAATGTTCAACATCTAGTGTAAAGCCTTCCCAGAAGAGTACTGGGGTACTGTACGTTATGTGAACCATTGGTGGTCTCCAGTAAAGTGGACAGAGTGTATCTTCCCTACTGTAAAGCATCCTTACCTGCTACTTTCAGTCTGAAGCTTTTCTTCTGGCTGCCGATCTGTGTGCTGACCGAACAGGTGTATATTCCATCATCCTCCAGGGTGACCCGGTCCAGCCTGAGTGATGCATTTCCCTTCGCCATCTCCTGGTGGTACAGGCTGGTGCGGTTGGCATAGTGCGGATCCTGTCGGTCCAGCTGGTCTTGGCTGTGGTAGAAGCTGTGGACCACCTCCAGGCCACGCTGCCATGTGATCACGCTGCTGCTCACATCCCAGGAGCCTCCGGTGGGAAAGCTGCAGGACAGAACCACGGACTGCCCATAAACCCCAACCTGACCACCACTGGGCACTGAGATCTCGAACTCAGCTGAAGGGCAGACAGAGAGAGAGGACAGGTGAGGGGGCTGTACGGAGAGCTGGGCAGGGTAGTTTGAAAGAGTAGTGATGACTGAATCCTGAACACACTGTCCGATATGTATTCAGTAACATATTCCATTACAATACATGAAAAAGTTCCATATCACTGCTGTCGGAAGAAACCTTCTATCTCCAAAATGAGAACTTTACAGGAGAAGGAAAAAATCTACTTTACTTTTAATGTAAGTCAATGGAACCAGAGTTTCTTCCAAGTCATTTTAGGGCATTTCTGTTGTCACTCAATAAAAAAAATATATACATACATATAAACCGTCTTTAAACTAAACCCAATCATAGTTTTGTGTATTTTTTAAAAATGGTTTATATTTATGTATATATATTTTTATTGAGTGCATAGGTATTTTAACAGTATTCTCCTAAAAATGTAAAAAGTAACTTTATTCTGTGTACTGCTTTAAAAAATGTAACTTAGACTGAATACAGATGCTTAATATCTGTTCTTTCCTGATACTTGTCTTCCGTTATATCCCAACTCTGGTAATAAGAGATGTTATATTACAGACCAAATGTCTGAAAGCAACACTGATGCTGTTAGTCACTAATATATTAAGAACACATTCCATTTTAAATGACTGTGTGGGTGCAGTGATTTATTTCTCAACGATGACTTGCAGTATAAAAATGATGACTCATAGTGTATAAATATGATGACATTGTTTAGGTTTCTGGGTCATATTACAGACACTACAGACATCTAATCTGATCTGTTTAGTCATCATGACACCTTCAGTACGGACTGAATTTGGGACAGTAGCTGTTCCAGGTCCCAACTTCATCATCTCATCATTGACTCCAGATAAGAAAACAGCATCACACAAACATCCTAACTAGACTAAACCTCCTAAATCCTGTCTTAACTTTAGGATGAACCCCAACAGGGTCCTCACTTCTGTTTAAGGTCCGTTTCTATGGTTTTTAGGCAGCTGAGTCAGCAGCATAGTTCACTACCAGCATAATGAGCTCCATTTATTTCTACTGTAAAACGCTGCTTTCACTGCGAGATGATTTTCTTTTCTAACTCTGCGTTTTAAAGATCTCAGACGCTGCAGACTCGATCTCCACCGCCCCTCTGATCACCTTCGTGTGTTAATGTTGATGATGAAATATTACAGTGATGGTGGTGAATAATGAGGAGACGGAGCTGAACGTGTGTCTGTTTATTAGGAGGAGTAACGTTAGCACGCTCGGCTAAAGCGTTTGGGAAACGGAGACTGGAGAGCAGTAAAGCTCTGATAAACAGCCCGAAGCGCTGACACGATATTCTTAACTCTCAGTTTATCGCGCTTTAGTTTTATTTTACCTTTTTAGACCAGTTACAGTTGCTAATGTTAGCATTCTGGCTAACTAACCTGATAATTGTGATTACGTGTTCACGTTTGAACTGTGTGTGAATGGTCGGTTGCCTGGCAACAGACATGACAGTTGATTGTCGACTCCGACTGAGCAGGTTAAGATTTCCTAACTTGGGATGAGACAAAGATGCTGAAAGATAAGATGAAATTCCTACAGTGAGGTAAGACTGACTTCTGTAATATACATTTATGAAAAACTGTTTCTTGACCTGCCAGACCTTAACTTAAGACAAGAAGACGTTTCTGTAATTCGGCCCCAGGTCCTCAAAATACGACACTGATTAACAGACGAGCCAAACAGTCCGAGACCGAAACACCTACAGAAACTCCAGAGTGAACCGTCGGGTCCAGTTTCTCCATCGGTTTCGAGGGAACTGTGTTATCTTGCCCACTCACCTGCTTCGTGTTCCACTTTCCCGTTCCACCGTAAAAAGTGCCGCTGTCACGCCTACCAGCTGCCCGCAGCAACTTACCATTTAAGGTGGAACGGGGAGTTAGAATACACAGCTCGAATAAGATGTTTGAGCCTCGTAATAAAACATCTCCACTGAGCCAGACGGGCATTTATTTTACTGGAAGCGCTACCGGACTCTGTGTCCGGCCCGGGATTTCACAATCTGGGTCTGTCCGGTTTCGAGATTAAGATTCACAGCTTCACTCCATTCATTCACTTTTACTTCTAGCCTAACGTGAGTATTAATAGAGTATCTGAGAGCAGTAATAAAGCTGAGACTTACTGTAAGAGGAGACTCCAGAGAGCAGAAGCAGGAGGCAATAAAGCGACGCTGGAAGCTTCTCTGTTTCTATCATATCACGGCTCTGAATCAGCAGCTGATCCGACTTTCACAGCTCCACTCGCTCCGCTGAGGACCGACTGAGCGAAACTCTATGAAGACTTAAGTAACCTACGTAGAAGTGGGCGGGTTCTACAGTCACATGGGCGGAGCCGTTACTATTTTGGAGCACAGACTAAATAAATAAACAGAACAAATTATCGAAACCATTAGAGTCTAGCGTGATAATACATATATAATAATGACGTTGAAGGTAAACTAAAGATGTTAGATGGCCATAATTTAGTGGTTTTAATCATTACTATTTAACTACACACTTAAAAAAGATGGTTCTTCAAGGGTTCTTTAGCAAGGGGAACGGTTCTTCTAAGAACTATAAGTTATATATAGAACCATTTGCATGCTCAAAGCGTTCCCTGCATGGTGAAATGGTTCCTCAGATTGATGGAGAATGCGCTGTGTGTGGTTCTATATAGAACCTTTTTGAAAATTGTTCTATGTAGCACCAAAAAAGGTTCTTCTGATGTATACAAGCTTGACATCGAAACAATAACAGACCTTTTTGGTGGCATATAGAACCATATACAACACACTCCATCAGTCTGAACTAGCTCACCATTTTTCACCACTCTTGGTTCATTCCTTTTTTTAAGAATTGAAGAACTGTGTACTCATTGAATCATGTCCTATTTTAATCACACTACTGTATATATATATATGTAAGAACTCGATGATTTACGAACCAGTGCCCGGTTGTATAGGTTCTTTCCCTTAAGTGTGAAGGGAAATCTTTAAGGCTGTACGTTTCTCAGAGGTTTCTTTTAGCTGAAGGAAACACTGAGGGGTTCACAGCAGTGACTGAGCATTTACTGTAATACAATTCTATCATATCTATGACTGTATTCTCTCAGTAAAAACAGCTGAACTCTGAAACTAACTGGATCTTCTACAGTCAGTTCTGTTGACCTGTTACTCCTGCCCAGATGAACAATGAGCCGCTTAGTTTACCCGTGTCTTCCACTTGGTGCACACCCTCAAACAGGACCTGAGCAAGAGGAAGGGGCTGAAAGCTCCACTGGAATTGTTTCACTGACCTTTTTAACACAGTCAACATAAATAAATATCTTAATTCACTCATTGTTAATGTTCTGACTGGTTTTGTATTTGCCTGTTTTTTAATTTTCAAAATGGTGCATAACAATACAGATTATACTTATTACACACATAGAAACAACCTTCTTATTTCTACACTCACTGTCCACTTTATCAGCACCACTGACCGTATAATTTCACTCTGTAGTTCTACAGTTACAGACTGTAGTCCATCTGTTTCTCTGCATACTTTGTTAGTCTCCTTTTACCCTGTTCTTCAGTGGTCAGGACCCCCATGGACCCTCACAGAGCAGGTACTATTTGGGTGGTGGGTCATTCTCAGCACTGCAGTAATACTGACGTGGTGGTTGTGTGTTAGTGTCTGTTGCGCTGGTACGAGTGGATCAGACACAGCAGTGCTGCTGGAGTTTTTAAACACTGTGTCCACTCACTGTCCACTCTATTAGACACTCCTACCTTGTCAGTCCACCTTGTAGATGTAAAGTCAGAGACGATAGCTCATCTGCTGCTGCACAGTTTGTGTTGGTCATCCTCTAGTCCTTCATCAGTGGTCACAGGACGCTGCCCACAGGACGCTGTTGGCTGGATATTTTTGGTTGGTGGGCAGTTCTCAGTCCAGCAGTGACACTGAGGTGTTTAAAAACAAAAGTGGGTGTTTGATCTGCTGCTGCCTTTCAACAGTACAACCACACCTTGAGGCACAGCTTACATTACAGTAGGAAACTCTTTCGTAATGACGGAGACTGCCTGCCTCTTCACGTCATGCATAATCACTCTCGTTGGCCGTTATGCATTTCACACGATCCAACAATTCCTGAGAAAGTGGGCGGGTTTATCATTTGAAGTGGCGGCCCTTATCAGTCTGTGTAAAGGTGGAGCTCAGTAAAGCTCTTCACACAGCTTAGAATAAAATCTCTATTTTATCAGGGGTGTGTTTGATTACTGCATATCTGATAATAACCTTTCATATTTTAAACCCTTGACCTCATAGCAGCTGCTCTAAAGGCTAACACAGCTCACAACACCCAGCCTGAGCATGTTATTAGTGTATAAATATAGATTTATTTATTCACATCATTCATGTACATTTAACTGTTTTGTAGACAGTAATTCCTTCATCATGCAGCCCCCCCCCACTCCTCTCTGCACTACAACACATACATAGTTCTGAGAGGAGTCATGAAAATGTATTACAAACTACACTTTACACCCATATGAAAAAAAAAATAAGCCAAACGTTTTAATCAATGTATGACAATGGTAAAAATGTATTTGTTAAATATATTCTGATCTGCACTGCGCTTTACATTAACCATGTACGTCTGCAGTCAGACTCTCACACACAATGTATTTCACATAAACAAGATATCAGATACAGATATCAGAGTATCAATACCCACAACACTCGCTTCTGTCATTTTTTCCATATGGAGATTTGGAGACATTAAAATACTTCAAAAATGAAAAATGGTAGTGTTTTGCATTAATGTGCGAATTTGTTTGTCTCACACTTGAAACATCGATTTTCACTAGTCGACGACTGCAGGTTATGAAAAATGTACATTTTAGTCCCTCAAAATTTTAGTCACCTGAACACATTCAGCCCTCAGAAACATCTGGAATATTCCACAAGTACGTTTCAATGCTATTAATGTACTAATTAAAAAAAAAACATTCTTAATACATTACCATAATGTCCTAAATGCCTTTGTATCATTAGCACGGACGCTAGGTCATGTCAAGTAAAGTCAAGTCAAAGGTTATTTATGTAGCGCTTTTTACAGCAGGTGTGTCACAAAGCAGCTTTGAGCCCCCATGAGCGTTGCCAACGGCAACAGTGGAAAGGAAAAACTACCTAAGAACAAGAGGAAGAAACCTTGAAAGGAACCAAGACTCAGAAGGGGAACCCATCCTCCTCTGGACCACACGGGACAGCAACACGCACACATCATCTAAACCGCTTATCCTTCTGGGTCGCAGGGGTGCTGGAGCCTATCCCATCTGTTATTGGGCAGAAGGCAGGATACACCCTGGACAGGTCGCCAGTCCATCGCAGGGCAGACAGACATACACACACATTCACACCTAGGGGCAATTTAGCATGTCCAGTTAGCCTGACTGCATGTTTTTGGACTGTGGGAGGGAACTGGAGAACCCAGAGGAAACCCACGCAGACCCAGGGAGAACATGCTCCACACAAAAAGGATGCTGGTCGCCCGGCCGGGGAATCGAACCAAGGCCCTCCTTGCTACAAGACGACAGCGCTACCCACTGCACCCCCGTGCAGCCCCGGACAGCAACAGCGTTAGTGTAAAATATTTGAATACAAAACGGGGAAAAACAGGCGGAGCAACGGTTAATTAGAGAGTCTGAGTTTGTGTGTTTGCTAATTCTTTAACTAATTCTAAACTCAACTCTGTTACTCATTTAAGTCACTGTCAGCAAAGAAACACTGAAAAAAAACTAAATAATATTCCTGAGGAACAAAATAAACAGCTATTTTTTTTTAATCAAGGTTGAAAATATTAAAAACACAAATAAATCACTTTTCATATTTTAGAATTACAGTGGGTAAATGGCACCTTAATCATGGAACAAACAGCATTCATATATTATATACATACATACATACAGCTCAATAAAACCCCATTAAGAGTCTTCACAGAAAAGTCATATGAATATCATGTGAGTAAACGTGTGGATTTTGGACATTTTACATGTTAAAAAAAGTTTACCGTAAAAAACTACAGTACTGTGTTTGTGGTTTTGCACACGGCACGTGGGTTTCTGTGCAGCACGTGAGCGGGCGCTGATTGGGTTACATAACAGTGACGTTTCACATAGCAACAGTTTCTGTTTAGGCTGAACTCCAGCAGGGCTTCCCTCCCTCAGGCACTCCAGCACATTCTTCTCATTGTTCAGTGTTTGAAGCGCTCAGGCTGGAAAACAAAGAGCACAGAGGAAAATGAAGTCTAATCTCACAACAGTCAAGTCAGATAATGGTACAAATCACAATAAAAACATCACGACAACACAAACACCCACTCGTAATTCCTTTGCAACACCTGCTGACCACTCTCAGAATAGAGAAGTATGGGAAAAGGTCAGTAGGGATAAATCAGTGGTTTACAGTAGAAACTATAAGCCTACATTCCACGCCATCCAGTTGTGTTTTTGCTAAAGATGTGATTTAAAGCCTCAAATCCCCTCCAGTCATAATTAATCAGCTCTGAATAAAAGTAACTGTATTTCCCAGGAAGCGTTTAACAGCATTTACTGCTGTTTGTCTGATGGAGCTCCTGAGCTGAAGGATATCAGCCAAACCTAAAGGAATCCTCGTCTTATCTAGGGCTTCCCTATGACATCACAACCTTTAGCACAGTAACAGTCTCAACTTGTTTGGTCTGTCATTGGTGTGTGTGCTCAAAGGTAGTCTTGTCAATCAATACTTTGGCTTCAACTAAACAATGACAAGCTAGAAATCTTTCACCTCTAATGTCTCTTGGTAACAAAACATCTGTGAAATTTCCAAAACAATGAACCTCGTTCTGGTGGAAAGAGACAGAACGCGCTCACACCCTGCTGTTATGACAGTATAGTCATCTAACACGCCTGGCTGAACATCAGAGCTGCCCCCCAGAATACTGACCTAAAACACACTAAATACTGACCCACATAAAGGAAAGAGACACTAATGTCTGTCCCTCTGATACTTTTAAGCACTTTTACTCGCCTTACTTTAGTTTTCATTCATTTGACGTGAACCTGGTTGTTGTTGCTGGTGGTTATTACTTTTCTAATTTAACTTTTCAAATTGTGAGTTTAGCATGGAAAGTAATAAATAAACAAGACATAAATTGTCCCAAGACCACTTTAGAGCTCCGCCTACCAGTTCTATTGGAAAATCAGTGCTGATGCTTTTGAAACGGGAAAAACTCTTTCATTTTATACTAATGTGCTTCATAAAATAGAGACCAAAAGTAATAAAATTAGTCAGCAACAACACATAATGTCTAATGTGTCCTGTTACATATTGTATGATAGAAGCTAAGGAAAAGCAATAAAACACTAAAGAACTACAGAAGAGAAAGTGAATCTTGAGAAACAGTTTGTACTGTTTGGTCAAAATAAAAGTTTGTGTTTCTTTACCTCTTAAAAGATTAACGCATGAAAATCATTTTTTCGCTGATCATCCAAACTAAGAGGTGTTTTGTAGTCTGTAACAGGGGTTCTCAACCTTTAGCACCCCAAGGCCCACCTGTTTATAACAACAATGCATAGCTGCCCACAGGAGAACTAAAACCAACTTTTAAAAATAAATGCTTTTTTAAATACAGTTTTCTTTTGCTTTTCCTAAATGCTGACACTGAAAACCTGAGCATTAAGACCGAAAAGAGATCAGCTCACCCACTGGCAAAATTTGCAGTGATGTTAAAAAAGCATATGGCTGTAGTGATATTAAAAAAAGTGCGGAAAAGACAAGAAAAAAAGAACAGAAATGTACGAGGCAGATGTTGACAATGATCTGGAGCTGCAGTCCATCGTATTTCCACCGAAAATACTCCACTGGCTTCCCCAGAATATGAATCGTTTAATCTCTTCAGTTTTGAGGGTTTTAGTGCTTGTGTGAAATAGTCAAACAACCACACTCCTCTCAACAATAATTAGTCTTATTCGATATCTGCTTTGTCATTGGTTTGAGTTTAGCCACTCAGGTTGCTGATACTCTTAAAAATACCCTCTGCTACCATTCGTTGAAATCGGACGCGTCTTGGCTATTATTTTGCGGCTCGTCTATCATATTTGACAGCAGCTCGTGCCGAGAGTCTTTAAAAAGTCAGTTGTTAAACCAGGCAGATTATGCGAAGATGCAGCACCAACATGCTGCAAGAAGAAGAGGAAAGTGAGCTCTCGGACTGAGAACCATGGTTTTTCCCAGACCACAGTTCAGCTGTCTGCTGCAGACTCAAGTACGAGTGGAGTGTTCACACATATCAAAATAGAGTGAACGAAAGAAAGATGTGTGATAAGTCCATCAAACAACGCATGTGTGAAAGCACCCTGAGAACTTCTCCATCTCTGGCTTGACAACTGTCTGCATTGCACCTAATCAGCCTGATACTGTGATGTTTTTATTTGAACGTCTCCATTAAGTTTTTATATCGGTTATGATTTGCTTCTTAGATATTTAATTATTAGGTTAATCTTTTTTCTACTTATGCTTTTATAATATAAAGTGACGTTACCGGCCCACTACAAACTGCTGCCTCCCTGTGAGTACAGGCCCACAAACCACTAGAAGGTGCTTCAAGGCCCACTGGTGGCCCACAGTCCATGGGTTGAGATATCCTGGTCTATAATGCAACTGATCATCTGCCTACTGTTTTCTACTGCGCTATATAGCCAGCAACTTAATTTAAGTTAGCCTAAGTTCTCTTGCTCTAGATTCTACTAGCAGGCTGCTAATCTTTTCATTGGGACTACAGACTTCATAGTGAAAGAAAGAAAATTAAATCTTAATAATGATTCACTGAGAGGTGTGAGCACTGATATTAAAATCTGTCATGCAGTTATACAGATTAAACTGACGGACACTTTTAGAATCAGTGGCCTGTTGGGCGACTGAAAGGTGTTGTTTTTCTATGGACACAAATGTGGACGAGATGTTCACCTGAGCACCTCACTGGGGCCCCCGTCTGCCGGACAGCCATTTGAGATAAACTGTTCTGGACTGACAGCTAAAAGGACGCTGCCTGGCCCTTCCAGCAACAGTGGACAAAGGTCACTATGGCATGGAATAAAACATGATCAACATCATACGGAAAAAGTGCTGAAAGTAAACATAGCAGTTCTCTCAGCCCTGCTGACCACTGACACAGGAAAAGAGAAGGTCAAACTGAACTGGATCAAAAATGGACAGAAGATTCAGCACAAAATGTCCCTCAACACTCAACAGGACAGCTGAGCAGAAATATTCTCACTCCTTTAGATGCTGTTTTGTTTTGTTATTATTTCTTTTCAAATTAAATTCCAAAACACACTTTAATTTTCATTTATCTTTCATTGTTAATTGGTTGATTCAGGGTTGTTGTGAAGAAATGTGAGCTACATTTATGAAACGTGTGAGGTTTTATTATTATTATTATTATTATTATTATTATTATTGAAAGCTGTAGTATTAGTAGTCACAGTACTAGGCTTGGTAGCAGAAGCAGTATAATTGTTTCTGTTGAGAGTTGATAAATGAAACGCTATTCACAAAGCTTCTATCAGAACTTTGAGGATTTGGGGGCTCCATCATTTTATATACATTATATATATATATATATATATATATATATATATATATATATATATATACATCTTGCAGCTCATTGAAAACTCGCTCCGCTCTCATGAAGGCGTGGTTTGCTGCGCGGTATTGTTGTGGTTGTCGTCACTATTACGTCACACAGCAAACAGCGAGAGTCGGTTGAAACCAGTCAGAGCAGGGAGCTGTCACACGAGCTCGCGGGTAAACTCTAGAACTCCCTCGTTAATTCTAGACCTTGCATGTAAATTCTAGAACTATCTAGTTTATTCTAGAACTCGCACAGTACATTCTAGAACGGTCCATTCCAGAACCCATACACTCCGTGGAGTATTTAGTGACGAAAGTGTTCAGGCTGAAGATACGCTGGGTGTTTTTACGTCTGAGCCGAGTCGCACAGCAGCGAGGTCTGATAAGAGATCAGATCAGATCAGCAATAAAAACATAATGACAACACAAAACTCCAATAAACCCTCTATACGTAACACACTGTCCACACCGAGTTCTCTCACCGCCCCCCCCCCGCTCCCCACCTTCGCCCTCTAAATAATATAAACATTGAGTGGGCGGTTCCATCGTGACTCAGAGTCTTCAGCGACGCTTTGTCGTCATTTGATCGAGACTCTTAGATTTGACCTTCTCTTTTCTACGAGGCTGAAGTTCGCTGCTTATTCACCAGCTTCTTGTTCGTATTTCCCCGTTCCACCTTAAATAGCGAGGCGTTATAATAGTAACTGCTGCGCCATTTGATACCAGCAAAATGTCAGCAGGGCTAAATTAGTGGTTTATATACCAAAGTTTCCCCTGTGATGCTTTATCATGTTTTTTCCTTGTCATTGTGACTTCTGGGACAAAGAAATATGACACGAAGTGCATCATTTTAAAGAATAAGATGTTACTCATGACTACAACTGGACAAATATGAGCTTAACGTGTTCCTGTTTTTGTTACTGTCCCTCTTGGTGGTCCACTGTGAGCTGTGGAGGGAGAAGGGTCGACCTCTGGTATGTCAAACTGGGACCTTGTGGGCCAAAGTGCTGTGGAGATCAGCGTTCAGCCTCATCTAACACTCTGAATTCAGTTGATGAAGGTCTTGATAATGAGGCAGTGAGCTGAAGTCTGTAGTGTTGTGGCCCGTGAGGACTGGAGTCTGACACTGCAGACCCACAATCTCAGCTCTGGGTATGATGTTCCTGCTAAAAACAAGGACTATTAGAAACCATTAGGTTTAAAACCTAAATGTTTTGCTTTCTAATGTGAATTGGCTTAATGGTTTTCAATACAGATCACTAGTTTCCTGTAGAACACTTTTAGACCCCATTAGGAAACCGAAATTAGAAACAGCCACTGGTGACCTGTTAAACCATTAGGATCCTTTACACTGTGATATCAACCCATTAAAAAGCCAAAACACATTACAAAACTATCAGGAACCAACAGAAACACTTAATCACACAGTGGTCCAGATGCTAAGAAGCTCTAACTAGTTTTTAATCTCCTCAAACAGATTTGAAATGCACAAAGCCTTTTATTATAGAAAATACACTAAGACAAATATCACAAATAACTGAGAGAAGAAAAACGACTAGGCCTTGAAAGGAAATTCAGCTTGTAGGATTGGAGAAGGTC